GCAAGCCCGGATCGGCCTTTTATCCAATAAATACATCCCTTCCAGAAGTCGGGATATGCTGCACGTATTAGCTCTAGAATTACCACGGTTATCCGAGTGGTAAGGAGACCACCAAATGAACGATAACTGATTTAATGAGCCATTCGCAGGTTTTTTTTTTTTTTTTCCAGACAACACAACCCCTTTATATTCTGGGGGGAACCAGTCCGGTTACTTATCACCGGCAAGCATAGGAAGATACAGAAATCAGTAACAAATAATCAAAGGGGCCAAAAGCTGCCATCCGAGCAGCGGTAGACTAATTAAAGTACCCAGTCCTACTCAACAACTTATGGCACATCTGAAAACTCAGCCCTGATGTCTATATAATCCTTATCTAAAATAATCATGAAATTAAATCTTTGGAATAATTAAAATTACTTATTAAAATTATCTGAAAAAGAGGCCTCGGGGGGAAAGGCCCCTGAAAATCATAAAACCCGAAGTAAAGAATACTTAATTAGCCGGACTCACTAGGACATGACTAATACTGAAGAGCTAAGACTCTAATCATTTATTAAACTATTATACCTCCGTATTCTCCCTTCCCCCCCCACCACCTCCCTTCTCCTTCCAGGGGGAGGGGGGGGAGGGTTAAATAATTATCCTAAGGCCTAGATAGAAAGCAAATACTGCAGATCGTCATCTGAATCATTCTGAGAAAAAATCCCCTTCATCTGGAGAATGAACTCAGTGAACAGAAAACCCTGGCCCATCAACTTCATGCCTTTCAATCGAAAGTGCTGGCCCGAAGAAGTAACTGTTATTTTCTGAGCTGAAAATAACAAAATTCGGGAAGGGGGACCATGCTTGGAACAAAAGGGAATCTTCTTTAATGCTAATTGCTCCATGCCTGTGTAAGAAATCAGCCTGGATACCTTGCCGTATATATAGAACAACCCATCTCTTACTAATGAAGAAATTTTGCCCTGTCGAATACACAAATTCCTTGTGGACCAAAGAGCAGCTAAAATAGCCGCCCTAGTGAACTCTGAAACATATAGCAATTTCGTGTCTCCTATGTTCACATTCGTTCCCAAAAGGACGCCCGCCACCAGGTCATTAGACAGAAGGAGGGGAGATGGTCCATTACACATTTGAGGCCACTCCCACCAGGAAGCCCTATGGAGTGGGCAATGCACCCATAAATGAGGAATATCCTCCTCTTGCAGACCGCACACAAGGCAAGTGGAAATAGTAAACTGACTTTTACTAGCTTGCCATTCTGCTGTTGGAAGACCAAGATGAATAGTTAACCATAATAAAGCAGCTCTCTTACCATCGGGTAGTCGTCGATTTATATCACAAAAGACGTAAAATGCTTCCCGTGGCCATTTAATCAAGGTGGTTTGCGAAAAAATTGCCCTTTTCTCCCAGCGAGATTTAAGATGAGAATAAATGTCAAAAGTAGGAGCATGTAGTCTATAAATGTTCTTCGTTGTCAGCTCATCAAACCGCAAGGATCTCTTTTGCATACGAGCCGGACGAAAATATCATTGAGAAGGATCAAAAGGAAGTTCCTGGAGGTTGGTACGAACCTTAAAAGGCACAAAATTCCTTGGACGCTTCCTCCCTCTTTGAGGCAGCACCAAAATGGGAATCAAAGTCTCCGCAACCATCAGTTCAGAGGGGCCAATCAAAGAGAGAAGTGTCGTACCAAGATCAACATATCCTGATGAACAACTCCATCGGGATACCTCCACCCAATTCCCAAGATCATACGGAGATTCAATCCGAAAAAGGATGACAGGAGTTAAATCTTGTACGAATCTCACCCATTGCCCTTTTTGCAAATTAGGCCCCTTAAGCATTGCCACCCGATCCTCAGGTACTGCCTCCAAAATTTCTCGAAACCTATCCTCCCAATGAGGGGCATGAGAGAGTTGCTGCCTGAACTCATCAATGTTCTTCCAAGTCCTGGTTTGGGAATTCCGTAAGTGCCGGATGTGAAAAACCCGTTTACACAACCACTGTCGGCCGAAAGAACCACTAGACCCCTGCCATGAAAAGGGGAGGCCACGACGGTCAATTAAAAAGGGGTTCCCAAAAAGAGGCTGATTAAGCACCTGAATTCACGTTCTCGGGGCTGCCAACTGAAACTTAACCTTTCTCCATGCGGCAATGAACTTAGTCCAACAAGATTGTTGTCGAACTCTTGTAAGAAGAGTCGGATGAAGCAGAGCCACCCAAACCGCATATTCTGGTAGCCTCAAAATTTTGGACAATACCAAACCCGCCATTTGCTTCCATACTGCTGAGTCATCATCCATGAGTAGCCAAACAACATTCCGACATTGCAGAGCCATTACTTGAAACGTTGGATCCAAAAGGGACAAACCACCTTCTCTTCTGGGTTGAATCAACTTAACCCATGCAACCCTGGGAATGGAAGTTTCTGCATATGCATCAGAAGACCAAAGGTACCTAGTGACTGCAGTTCTAATATTACGCAATGTAAAACGAGGCGGAGGAATGATCGCCAAAACATACCAGATTGTGGACAAAATTGAATTATTAATAATAAGTGCCCTCCCGAAAAGTCCCACCTGAGCCCCTTTCTTCCATTGCCGAAGTCTACTCATGATAGTTGAAAAAATAGTCTCCACTTGAGGATTAAGACCTCCATCTACAGACATTTGTACCCCCAGGAACTTAAAGAAGACTCCTTTTGACAAACATTCAACATCCCAGTCAGCCACCAGACTCAAATCAGACGACGCAACAGCCACAGTCTTATCCCAATTAACTTGTGCACCTGAAAAGTGCGAGAAAGTCGACAAACATCGCCGTAACTCTGTTAACTGGTCTGTTAATAATCTTATCAAGGCTGCAAAATCATCTGCAAAAGCCGATGATTTAAGCTCCTCCCTACCAACCGGAAGACCTCGCAAAATAGGAGAAGCCCTAATCATGTCATGCAAGTGCTCAGCATATAGAACGTAAAGGGCTGGAGAAAGAGGGCACCCCTGTCTGACTGATCGCGAAATGGAAAATGTAACGGACTGAAGTCCATTCGTCTGCACAATAACTTCTTTGATGTCAAAAGGAGAGAAGTCCACAACCTAAACCCCATTCCAAATCCTCTCTGACGCATACCCTCAATTAGGAAGACCCATCTCACTCGATCATAAACCTTTTCAAAATCCTGCAAAATCATAGCAACACCTTCTGGGACCAAAGTTGCTAATTCCAGGCTCTGCTGTGCAATCATAATGTTATTAGTGATTTGGCGTCCTGGTAAAAAACGAGTTTGAGTGGAATGAACAAGCAGCTTGAAAATTTTCCCAAGTCGTGAGGCAAGTACCTTAGCACATACCTTATACAGATTTGTAAGTTTAAAAATAGGTCTCCAGTTTCGGATTTCTGAAGGATCTCCTTTTTTATACAAGAGAATAACGATGGTCGTAGAAAACCCCTTAGGTAAGGCCTGCAACTCTGCCGCCTGATTAAAAACAGCAGTTAAAAACGGGGTAAAATTTTCCACCAAGTGCTAGTAAATTTCAATAGGTAAGCCATCATAACCAGGAGACTTACCTGAGGGTAAATCAAAAATGGCAACCTTGACTTCTTCCTCCGAAAATGGAGCATCTAGCATATCAGCATGATGCGGGGCCAAAAAGGTCCTCATATGTTGCCAAATCTCTTCCTGTGTGAGTACCTCCATCTGGTCAGCCGTAAAAAGAGCTTCCTCAGAAAACAACCATTTATAATACTCAGCAGCATAACTTAATATGCGATCTGATGAGGTAGCAGGGTCTTGATTCTGATCAAAAGGATGCTTAAGAGTAGTCATGAGGGGTACCTCCTTCCCATAGGCCAGTTGTCGAAAGAACTTTGCTGCCATCCTTTCTCCCGCAATAACCCAAGCTGTCCTCGTAGAAGACTTCCACTTAGCTGAATCCTCCTCAAACCATTGTCGCCAAGCCAAGGCAGCCTGATACTTTTCCGCCCACCACTCATCCTCTTTCCATCCTTGCGGCGGTTCATCCCCTAAGTCCTTCAAGGCCTGGGCCAACTGCTCACCCAGTTGCTGGTGCAATCGACGATCTACAGAAACTTGCTTCCTTGTATTTGTTACAAACTGAGAAATACCTTCCATAAACCACTCAAGGAAATTAGCATTAAATGGACACGAGGCCACCCAATTTCACCAAAAATCATGCGTTAAAAAAGAAAAACCTCTACGCGTAATTACCCAAAAAGGAACTGGAGGAGGAGGATAAGAACGATATATACCCTGAGGATCAACCAATTCTACAAGGACCAAATAATGATCAGACAAGGCTGGCGGTAAAATATCTACCTTAGTACAAAAATCAACAAGAGATTCATCAATCCAAATATGATCCATACGACTTCTAAGACGATTCCTATTGCCTCCTGAAGAAAACCATGTAAAACGACGTTCATTAGGAAATCTATGACGGTAAATATCTACAAGACTGAGTTCAGCCATGGTGGTCAGTAGAGCCTCGGCATCAGACTGCGGCAGCCGAACAGTTGGATTGTCAAGGCCAGGCTCAACCACTGTGTTAAAATCCCCTACCAGTATACAATTACTTAACCGTGGTAAGCAAGCTGGTAAAGACCGCCAGAACCATTTTTGTTATGTGCGGTCAAGAGGGGCATACAGTGTAGAAATAACCCATTTTTCAGAACTTAGTGTGACCACTACCCAAGCCCATCGCCCGCGCGAATCCCAGAAAGAATCGTGAATGATTCCCTGGAAATTCGGAGCAAATAGGATGGTCACCCCCCCCCCGAGTTCCTTGCGCAGGAGCCCATATCTGCATACCTTTCCACCAAGGCCACTGTTCCAAAATTCTATTCTCATTTAACTTAGTCTCCTGAAGACATAAGACATGCAACCTATTCTTTCGAAACAATTGAGTAATCTCTCTTTGTTTACTTAGGGCAGCCCTAGAAGAAAGTCCATTAACATTTCATGTTGCTATCCTAAAATTACTCATTACAAGGGTACGAATTTGGAACTCCTAAACCTATCAAAACGTTCTGAAAGAAAACCACAGTTAACCGGAAGATGATTATTAACAGCATGAAGAACTGCTGCCGTAATCCCATCTCGTAAAAGATACTGATTTGGCTGGGAATTGGGACCGAACAATAATGGGAGGTGAACCCACTGACTATGCAAGAGCAACGGAACAACAGAGTGAACGGAGACTGGTTCAACCCTAAAAAACGAGAAAGCAAAGAGAATTTCCTTACCGGAGTGAATCGGAGGCAGAAGGCGCACATTGGACAAAGCTTGGAGTGAGGACACTCGAAATGTGGGTCCCATCCACTCCTTCACCACAGGACCAATATCCACCATGAACGGAATCCGTTGCAGCTCAAAAGAAGGTAAAGTTCCCAGCACATAGGAAGGGCCCTGAGAAGGATTTGTAACCAGGATGAGAGGTAAAGGAATACTTTCCTTCCACCAAAATATGAGGGGGAAAACATAACGCTTACCCTGATTAACCGCATCCCTGATTGGCTGAACACGCCAATCGGCCGCAGGGCGTTGATGCGACTGAGGCTTTTCAGACTGAGCATCATCCCTGTCCCTCCTAACGTTATCATCCTGAGGTCGATGATCACTAAGAACTGGGGAAGCCAAGTCTGAAGAAGAGGAGTCTGAAGAAGAAGAATCACTGGCCAAAAGGCGAGCCAGATGAACCGTTGATAAAGAAGGAATGAAAGAACTCTTCTTCCCTAAAGCACCCACTCTACCATGCCTAAAAGCAGGATCCACTTTCCGCTTTTTTTCTTTTCCCTTTCTTTGCTGCTGTTGCCACGAATTATCCCCAAGGCTATTCTCTGGTTCCTGATAATTCACAAAACGGACTCGACGCAGGCAATACCTCGATTGAGTCTGAGATTTACTATTCGCAGAAGGCTCAATAGCAAGCACCTCATGAAGAACAACCTTCGTTACACCATCTGTTATTGTGCCTCGTGAGCGTTTCTCAGGGATAAGGTTTCCACTAAAAGTTTTGCACGCCTGCCTTGCATTTTGGTCACCACTGCCTGAAAAATGAGGACTCAGTAAGGGCTGCACGACTGAAGTCCCCACACGCTTACCAACAGGTCCCAAGGATACTCTCCCCCTCCTTTCCTCAACCTTCTTCTTCTTTATCTGCCAAAAAAAACTTCTCTTAACATGTTGGCTAAAAGCCCCTTGTCTTCCTTTATCCTTGGTACGCCCCTTAATCCGATTCGTTCCAAAAAAGCAGTATAACCCTGTCGAATTTAACACATCCCGTGGACCATCAGAAACCGACAAACACCCCTTGAAGCCAGCCAATGCATCACTATTTGTTCCCTCCCCGATTCTCACAGAGACCTTATGAAGTTGGGTATCCAGAACTAACCGTTCTTCCTAAGGATGAATATGAACCTCATCAGTGGACACCATTATGAACCTCATCAGTGGACACCATTCCATTCTCAACTTCATCATTTCGTAAAACGTTTGGATGCATTGCTATAGTGAGATCTTGCTGCTCGCTCTCCCTGGAACTCAAAGGGTCCTGATGAAGTTGGGTGTCCAGAACTAACCGTTCCGCCTGAGGATGAGTATGAGCCTCATCAGTAGACACCATGCCATTCTGAACTTCATCATTTCGTAAAACGTTTGAATGCATTGCTATAGTGAGATCTTGCTGCTCACTCTCCCTGGTTCTCAAAGGGTCCTGATGAAGTTGGGTATCCAGAACTAACCGTTCCGCCTGAGGATGAGTATGAGCCTCATCAGTGGACACCAATCCATTCTCAACTTCATCATTTCGCAAAACATTTGGATGGATTGCGACAGTGAAATCCTGTTGCTCGCTGTGTTCCAATGTCAACTTGATGGTAATATCCTGTTGCCCTGTTCTTTCCTTGGCTACATTAGCTGATTCGTTAATCGAAGTTCCACTTCTCATCTTAGAAATTCCCACAGAAAGATTCTCTGAAGGAGATGCTGAAAGAACAACTCCTTCCTTTCGAAAGGACGAACTGAAAATCGGAGTTGACAATTCTACCCCCACAACAGTATCATGAGAAAAGACTGAATGATTGAAAGGGATAGTCTCATCAGCAGAATCTGTGGAACATGAAACCTGTGTCCCAGCTAAACCTCCTGTTTGTTTATCACAATCTTCCAGACGAGCCTCTTCTCCTTCCAACCAATCATAATTGAAATGATGTGAATAACCTTCCTCACCTCCTCCCAACAACCATCCCCCTCTTTGCCAGAGTGGATCAGCCACATAATCCCGAGCTTCAATCTGTCTGAGAAAAGAATTCAAACTTCCAAGTTCCCAATGATCCTCATCCCCACAGGGCGTCCAGTCATGATTTGAAGATTCAGGGACATCATCATATTGCAGAGATTGTTTTTTTTGATCCGTCCGAAAACTTTTCTGTTCATGAAAACCACTAGGACCAACATTGTGGAGAATAGATTCTTCATTATCATTCTGATTATGAACGGAAATAACGTCAGCATCCTCACATCCTCCAAGCAATTTCCCTCCTCTTTCTCGTAACAGATCATCCACATATCCTCTTATCCCATTTCTACATAGGAACGCATTCAGACTTCCAAATTCCCAAAGTGCACCATCGCTGCAAGGTGTCCAATCATTTCTTTGTATAACAGGATCCTGTTGCGTTTGCCGTCGAAGCTGCGACCAAAACCCAGTCAACCAAGACCATCTGGGAGCTGGTGACGCTTCAAAAGTCTCAGTAAGTGTTGAGATCAAGGCAGTCAGTGCTCGGCTATACAAAATGCGTCTCGAGAGGAATTCAACTGGCCTTCCCCTTATTGCCGGACAAGGAGCATGAAAAGCAGTGAAAAAAGCAACATGAATCTGTTGCCTGCTTTCTTCGTTAGTAATCTGTTATAATCCTCCTGTCTTAATCCCCTCAGCACCCACTCTTATCCCCTCTCCACCACGATGAACTGTCTGATCACATCCCACTATCTGTCCTTCATCCTGAAGTTGAAAACCAACTTCCTTTCCTTCCTCATCATTCAACTGACCTTCCATCACTTGATCCCTGGCATCTCCATCCACATTGTCTCCACCACGATCAACTGTCTGATCACAACCCACTATCTGTCCTTCATCCACAAATTGAAAACCAACTTCTTTCAATCCATCCTCATCATTCAACTGACCCTCCATCACTTGATCCCTGACATCGCCATCCATATTGCCCTGACCATTTGTAAGAAAATCACTATCCCAAACTCCTAGGGTAGCCAAACCCTGAAGAGGAGGAGCTTCAATATGAAGATCTTGAGAGACTAATTGAAGATTCTTCCCAAATTGTCTATCTATATCTTCTGCACGAACCCTCCTCCTTCTGAATGAAGCCAACATCCTTCAAATGAAAGTAGCATGATCAATAGGACGCAATTTCCTGTTCTCTATCTTTCTTCTTTGAGCAAAAACAACATCCTTCCCACCCACCTTCTTCTTATCCCGCTGAGGGAAGGAACTGCATCGTCCTTGACAATCGCTATTTCCGGGATCAAAACCTTCAGTATCATTTCCCTCCACCCCCTCTTTCTGAGGAGAGCCCCCTCCAAACCCACCCTGTAATTCCCTTCCCAGTCCTTCATTTCTTCTGTCACAACTTCTGCCACCCCCAATCTCGTCCAGATTCCTCTCCGCCTGTAAATCACTTGTGTCCGGACGCACAATTGAAAAACCCGTAGATCTCACTTCCACAGATTTCCCTGCTTGATCCTTACTTACCTCATCAATATCCTTGCGACCATCATCATTACCATTATCGATAGCACCATTCAGGGCATTATCCTCTTTATCCTCATCGCAACTTCGTCGTACAGTGTCGCTTCCCTTCACTCCCACTTTCTGAGGAGATCCCCCTTCATTCCCATCTTGCGCTTCCCTGTCCAATCCTGCATCTCTTCTGTCACAATTTCTGTCCCACTCAGTCATCTCAAAATTCCTCCCCACCTGCGAACCACATATGTCCATTCGCAGTTTCACAGTGCAAAGTGTTCACACTTAGACGTGCATGGCTTAGTCTTTCAGACAAGCATATGACTCCTGGCAGGATCAACCAGGTAGCGGGTGTGACGAGCAGCCACAAGGAGCGATGGCCGAGGCGCACGTASGCACGTCACGCCGGACAGCCTACCAAAAGAACGTCGAACAATCGCGGAACGTGCAACGAGCTGCCGAGACGCCGCGAAGTCCGGCTGTTTG